AGCTTTTTCGGAAGCTCCCCGCAAGACCCGTGGTTCCAGAAGCTTTTTCGGAAGCTCCCCGCAAGAGGCTGTCGGAAGGGGCTTCGGCAGACTTTCTAGTGAAGTCTGGTCCGATGGATCCGGACGGGCCAGCGATCATCCAGACTTCTGGGTGAAAGAATAGTTGCTACAGATTGCGTTGCGGCTCAAGTCAAGTTCAGGTGGCTGTGCCCCAACCCTTTGCCCCAGCCCTTTGCCCCAACCGAGATTTGGACATGGGCAAGGCTCAAGTCAGGTTTAGGTGGCTTTGCCCCAGCCGAGACGTAGACGTCATGCGTAACTAAAACTGGCCTCCATGCACACGCCGCCGCCTCATTGGCGCGGTGGGCAGAGCGGGGACTGCTTCTTGGCATTGGATGGATGTCCGGCGTGAGATGAAAGGGATTTAGGAGAACTTTAGATTTGAGAAGCTGTTATAGCAACCGACCCTGAAGCACAGGTGCCTTTCCACGAGGACGAGGGCTAGTCGGAGGACTGGTTACAGCGCGCAATGGTCACAGGGCGCGCAGCAGGAGCACAGGCACACACAGTTAGGGTTGTCACACAGACTGGAGGTACTTCAGCTCCTATACCTAACCTAAGCTAAGTTAAAGGGCAGTATAATGTTAAAGTAACGAATTGTTTACGCAGCAGGGTTTGAGCATGTTGGCGCCCAGGCGCTGGCGGAAGACTTCGAAATGCTCCAACTGGAGCCCGGCACGAGCTCGGCATGCTAGATTTGAGTCTGTTACAGAGGCGGTAGGTGGCTTGCCCCACGTTGCTGGCTGCGGTGCATTTAATAACGAGGCGGCCGTGAACAACGGCAGGTGGCTTGCCCCGCGTTGTTTGCAAACTGTGCAGTCTCGCGCGTGCCCCCCGTGCTGTTGTAAGCAGTTCTATTGCAGGGCAGCCGGCGGTCAGTGTAAAAAAAAGCGCGTGTCCAATTGTAGTCGTGAGCTTTGAATCCACTTGATGCAAACTCCCAAGGGTCAAAGTTTAGAAGAAATCGTAAGCCCTCAGCCCAGAAGTATTGAGTTCTGGGACAGATGTGACCAGAGAAGGAGGACAGCGAGAGAGAGAGAGAGAGAGAGAGAAAGATATAGAGAGAGGGAGAGAAAGAAAGAGAGAAAGAGAGCAATGGAAAGGAAAAAGAGGGAGAGAGAAGGAGACAGAATAAAAAACGAGAGAGAGAGAGGGAGAGAAAGAGAGAGAGAGAGAGAGAGATAGAGGGAAACAGGGAAAGAGAGAAAGAGAGAAAGACAGAAAGAGAGAAAGACAGAAAGAGAGAAAGACAGAAAGAGAGAAAGACAGATAGAGAGAAAGAGAGAACGCCAGAAAGAGAGAAAGAGAGAGAGCGAGAGAGAAAGACAGAAAGACAGAGAGAGAGAGCTCGCATGTCCTGACATGGCATGCGAGCCGTAAGCCTTGATTGGTAGCCATCTTGATTGTTTCGCCGCCTGATTTGTAACTTGTTGTATCTTTTTCGGCGCCAGGACCAGGAGCAGTAGTGCCTCGCGTCAGGTTCCAAGCACGCGCTGCAGGCATGGCCCCCGGCAGAAAAGCGAAGGCAAAGGCTAAAGGCGCGCCGGCGCCGCCGCCAGTGGCAGATCCTATCACGGCACCAGCTTCACACAGAAGCACCGCGACCATCATTGGTGATATGACGGTAGCCCTCAAGGAAATGCTGGACCACGACGCCTTGCAGGCCTTGCCCACTACTTTGCCTCCGCCGGTCGGCAAACACAAGTTTGCTGCACAGGTTGCTCGTCTGCCAGATTTGCCTTCTTGCAACAAGATTTTTTGCCGAATGAATGTCATGCTTGTTTTTTAATGCAAGATCAGATAGGTTAGTCGGCGTTATTTGTCCTAGGACCCCTTCGATGCGACAAAGCTGCAGTCGTGCTTCTCCCACGGCGAGGGCTCCAAGTATATTTGTGCAGTGAACTTTTACTCCTTGGACCACCTGGTTTTAGCCACGCCCCCACCTGCCCGTCAACGAGACAGCCGTGAGCGGGCTGGTCAAGCACTACTTCAAGTCAGGGCCAGCCCAACTAGAGTTGGAGTGTTCGTTCCACGTCGTCGCCCCCACCGCTGCGGCTGCCATCGCCGCCGTGGAAACCAACAAGCTCCGGATGGTGAGCCCTCCCGAGATGGTGTTTGCCGTGATTCAGGCTGTGGTCCGTGACCTACGGGAGGGAGACCCGCAAAAGATGACGGACTGGGCCGAGTTGCTCAGTTGCGTGCCCTGCACGTTTCACATGTGCAGCGGTGAAGACGCCAGGCACCTGCTTTCTATCCAGGAGCGCGAAAACTACTCGCAAAACGCCAGCTCAATGCGAACCACTGCTTTGCAGAAGCTGTTCGATGTGCAGAGCGTCTGCGACCGCAAGAAAACAGCCAACGGGATCCCAACCACTGAGGAGCTCGCGGAGTACTACAAGCAGATCAACTTTGCGCAGGACAGTGACCCGATCGCCTACAACTTCCTTGTCGAAGCCAACTACCTCTTGAAGAACTTGTTGCCCTACCAGGGCTGCCTCAATATCTTGCTGGACTTGGACAAGTATGGCAGATCCAATCCTCTGGATGGGACCGGCAAGCTTGCCAAGCTCGTCCGCAGAGCCGGAGCAGCATCAGGGAAGTCACCCTGCCCCCCGGAGAAGCTTCAGGTGATTCTGGAGTTTCTCTCCGATTTCTGGCAGGCAGGATACTACGGGAATGAGAAGTTTGCGGAGCGTGCTTTGGAGGGCAAGCAGCCCAAATGTGATGGAAAAGGAACCGTTGATCTCGTCCTGATGAAAGTGGGCCTGTTGGAGTTCATGCGCGGGAAGTTCATGGACACGAGGTCCTTCAAGGATCGCGTGCTTAGTGAATGGTTTGGCTTTCCCGTGTGTGATGTGTTGTGTGCTTCGCAGTGTCAGTTTTAGATCACAGCCTGAGGACGAAGAGAAAGTCTTGATTCGGGACGTTTGCTCGTCTCTGCCAAGCTTTCGGAAGTGGTGTGGCTACATCAACAACCCGAACTTCGCCAAGGCCTTTTAAGCATGGTTGGCCCACACAGTTGGGTATTAGAAGGGCTTTTGGGGATCTACGATTCAGAGTTCGCCAGGCATTCAAGCGCAGGGGTCGTTTAAGTGGAAAGTTTCAGCACTTAAACTTTGACATACTTTGGTCTTTTTCCGATTGATCTTCTCAGATAGATGGATTTTTGCGGCGTGGCGACGGAGGGCGGCAGAGAAAACGGGGAACATATTTTGATCTTTTTCAGATAAACGGATTTTGCGGCGTGGCGACAGGGGGTGGCAGCGAAAAGGGGGGATGCGCGGGGAAGTACAGCGAGGGGCAGCGAAATTCACAGCAGAAAACTAAATAGTCTGGCTTTGGCGGGTGTGTGGGGGGGGGGGGGGAAGGAGGACAAAACATGTGGCTACGTACGGGCTCCAGCGCGCAGATCTGCAAAACTTAGCTACTGGCGGAGCGGATTTTTCATGCTTGTTTGTTTATTCATTTCCGGGCGCCTCCAAAAACTTACTGCTGTAATTTGTCTAAATTTTGCAGCGCGTAGATAAGACCACTGTTTGTCATCAGGTTTTGCACCCCAAGTAATCGAAGACAAAATCACAACATCAGGCTTAGAGGCTTAACTAAAAATCATCAACTTTGGCTTCGAAGCTTCAGAAAACCCAGCTTCAACAAAGCTTGGCACGCTACTCTTTCTGTCGCTTAGGGTTTAAAGTTTACCATGTCGGGTTTAGGGCTTTAGGCTTCTGACCAGTTGACTTGAAACTCACCAGGTTTGCCTTGGGGTGAAGGTTAAATTGGCGTGCCGGGCTCCAAAGCGTTTGATGCAAATTGTGGGATTTGGGCTTAGGCTCCGGACTGACAAGTGTGCGCAGAGTCCGTGTGTTTCTTTAGCCAACTGTCACTGTGGGTATGCCGCCTTGCCCTTTCGGGGTGTAGGTTTCGGGTGTTGAGGAGTCTTTTTGATTGTTTTTTCAGGCGTTGGTTCGTTGAGGGTTTTTGGCGTCCGCAAGCAGATATCTTGGGAGGTCGATCTGCAGTGGAAAGCTACCCTTTCCAAGCCTGCCGAATTGCTGGTCTCTTTCATCGAAGACGTTGTGTTCAGCCAGGAGTATGACAGCAACATTTTCTTCGCTTGCAAGCAGCGGAAGGAGGCAGAGGATGTTTTGGAGAGCTGTCCCTTCAGTGAGAAAGTGACCGCAATTCAAGAAGCTCTTGCTGACCGCGCCAAAGGGGACCAGTATGCGTTGGAACCCAGTCAGGATGAGCAGCAGGAGGCTTGCCCCCGCCACGATGACACTTCCTCTTTGCAAGTCGAGGACTGCACGGAGCCCCCAGCACCCATCAGGAGAGAGGTTGAGGCACTCAAGCCAGAGCCCCGAGCCATTGTGCAAAAGCATTTGGCGGCATGCTGGAACAAAATTGACACCATTGTCCAGCTGGAAGCAGAGCCCGAGAAGGCCGTCGCCAGCTTTATGGAAAAACGGCTGCAGCATTCCGCCATCCAGAAGCTTCGCGAGGCAGACAAGTCGGCCGCGGGCATGGAGTATTACGTTATGATCGTGTATGATTGCAAATCGGCAGGTGAGGCCAGCAGCCATCCACAAACAAGGGTGGCCCCGCTGCAGGGCAACGGTAGCCATCTCAAGGACTTCGTGAGGGGAATTCTTGCAGCCAATTCCGGCGATTGCAAGAATGACCTGGGGCCCCATGACTTGTTCATCATTCCGAACGGCGCAGAGGAAGGCCGCGTTGGGTCATATAGTAAGTGCACAGTGCAGGAAGTGGTCAGAGTTTGCGTGCCACGTTGGTGTCAGGTTTAGGGTTCATGGTGCCTGTGGTGCTGGCCGCAGGCATTGCAGCGAAGCAATGGTACGATGGCTTTAAGGACGTAGAGGGCAACCCTTTCGCCAAGGCTACCCGCACATTGAAGGTGACGCTGGATGAGGAAGGATATTTCAGCCGCTATGGCTTGACCAGGGGTTACAGTTACAACCTGACCGAGGACGTCTTCTGCATCACCAAGCAGCCGCTTGATATGCCACCTCGCAGTGGCAAGCACTTCACTCGCAGCAACCGGTCGAACTTCATCGGACCCGTGGCAATCCCCCCATTCACGTCCGATCATCACCACATGCTTCCGTGGAAGATCAAAAGCCAGTGCTTCTCGGACAAAGTGAAGGCGTCGTGCCGAGTGGGCGGAAACGCTGCTGAAGGTGCGGAGCCTTTGCAACGGAAACCAGACGCTCTGGAGCCGATGTCTTGGCACCAGCTCACCTGGACATTCTGGGCCGAGCTTTGCCACAGTCACAACGTCACAGGCATCATCGATTGCACTGTGGGCGCCGGCTACGTGGCAGAGGCGGCGCTTCGGGAGAAGATCCCGTACCTGGGAGTGGCCATGACAGTCATGCACGCTAACCTGGTGAGGCAGTATCTCTTCGGACGGATGTGGGAGCTGATGCAGAAGCCCGGCGGCGAGCACTACAGTGCCGAACTGCACGAAGCATTGGGTCTACAGGCAGTGTTTGGGGTTTAAAATGAGTCTATCCCGGAACCCCGTGCCATATTTTAAGTCCTTACCCACACCCTAAACGCGAGCAGAGAAGACTGAAGACTGAAACCCAAAGAAAACTAGAAGTATGAAGCTGCAGACGGCTTGGAGCCCAAGGAAAACTAAAAGTATGAAGCTGCAGACGGCTTGGAGCCCAAGGAAAGCTAAAAGTATGACGCTGCAGACGGCTTGGAGCCCAAGGAAAATTAAAAGTATGAAGCTGCAGACGGTTTGGCGGACTAGACTGGCCCACCCCCTCTTTTTTTTCTGAAGCAGATGGGGCAAATTCGCATCCGGTTTAGTCTTTCAGTTTTGACAAGAAGCTGTTTCAAAACTGGGGTTCACATTTGGGTTTCGGGTAAGGCAATCATCACGGGGTGACAGTGGGGATACGCTACATCCTCAATAAACGCAGAAACGCGAGAACCTTACACCGAATACGTGTTGTTGAAACTGTTGTGTGTTTGTCCGCTTTGTCAGTAGGAAGCTAGAACCCCTGAAGGCAGTGGCGGCGCCAGTTGCCAAGGCGAAGGCCAAGGCTAAGACTAAGGTTGCTGAGCCCACGGCTGAGGCAACGCAGAAAGCTGAGCCTGCCCAGCCTGTCCAGCCTGCTCCCCTGCATCAGAATGCCAGTCGAAGCACGGGCGACGCTGGCCAGAGTGCTAAAGGTGACGATCTGGCCAGCCTGGTGCAGAAGATGTTGTCGGGAGCGCAGGGGCAGTCGGAGGCAAAGCCACCGCCCAAAAAAAAGCAGCGAACGGACGGAGCTGCAGCTGCAAGCGCGGTCGTGGACCTGGACGAGGCGGAGACCTAAGGCTTCGTCGAAAGCATCCATGCGCAAGCGGCTTGCCCTCGCATGGCAGCTGATTTTGCTCGATAGCTTCCATGCGCAAGTGGCTTGCCCTCGCATGGCAGCTGATTTTGCTCGAAAGCTTCCATGCGCAAGCGGCTTGCCCTCGCATCCATTTGCTGTCGACGCCAGCTCCCGATGTTTTTGCAGACTTCCATGAATCACCGGTTACAGCCGCGATTTTGGAGTCGTTGTCGCAAGCATTCCCGAATGTCAAGATTCTGAACAAGGACGCTGTTTCCAGGGATGTCCATTTTTGCGTTTGTGGCCTTGTCTCTGCCCCTTATTAGTCGCAAGCGGCTTGCCCTCGCACAGCATTGTACAGTTTGTCATCAAGCTTTCTTTATCAGAGAAAACCGTGGGCCAGGCAGGTGGACACGGCGCATAATTTGGCCATCCCTGGCGTTTTTTTTCGGTGCCAGCTCGTGAGAAATTCGGCGTGGTTTTGCTCTCTGGAAGCCCGGCTCATGCCCCAGTAAAATGCTCGAAGGCGTTGGCTATTTGCTTGAGTAAACGTTACTTGTATATGATTCAGGGTTCACGGTAAAGCGTTGTCAGGAAGCATGACCTCAGGGCTCAAGACTTAGCGTGTCCTAAGGTTTGGTTTGGGCTCATGTTGGAGAGCGCGACCATGGAGCAGGAAGGTGCGCAGTCGGAGCAGAAAAAGGTTCTTGCCGTGTGTTCTCTGCGAGTTTGCAATGCAAGCTGGTTTGTATATTGCTTTGCCCTTTTGCAGCGGTTCAAGAAGCCGAGATGCCGAGCATCATAAACCCCAAACCCCAAAAACCCCAAAAAATCTAAATCCCGAACCCCAAACCCCAAAACCTTAAACCCTAAGACCTAACAGTATTGTAGTCAGCCTCAGCTCAGCCGGCAAGAACATGGACCCGTTTGAGGTGGAGATGGAATACCTCAGCCTTCAAGAGAAAGGACAAGGAAGAGTATATGTCAGAAACCAAGGTGGCAAACTGAAAGCTTCAAGGGCTGGACGTGAAGGGTCTCGCGTGACCATTAATTGCTTTCGTCCGCGGAGGAAGCAAGTGAAGAAAGTCTGCGAGAAGAAGCAGACAGCAAAGGTGCGGGCCTTGTGCACTTCGGACAAGAAGCCCACACGGCCCGGCCGGCCTATCTGCGGTAGAGTCCGAGGTCCATCTAGAGTGACGGTCCAGATGGCATCTGACTGCGCAGGCCTGGACACGGCAAGCTGCTCGCTGAAAGTTGCAGGTTTGCAGCCACAGCTGTTGTTCGCGAGTGAGAAAGACCCGGCAACTGCGGCGGTTCTCCGAGCAAACTGCCACAGCCAGGAAGGTGCGTCTCAGCAGCCGAAAGTGTACACCGACATCATGGACCGTGATGAGCAGGAGCTGGCCACTTTATTTCCACACGTGGACTTGTACACTGCTGGCCCACCCTGCCAACCATTTTCGTCTGCAGGACGACAGATGGGACTCTCAGACTTGGACGCTCGAGGGATGGTATTCTTGAAAGTCCTGCTGACTATCAAGGCGGTAAGGCCTCGGACGTTTTTGATCGAAAACGTTGGGGATTTGATGACAAGCAGTAAGTATAAGGGCTTCCTGGACTTTGTGCTCACTTACTTGCAAGACATCCGCGCAGAAGATGGGTCTCAGTTCTACCACACAGACAGGCGTGTTTTGCAGACCTCGTCGGAAGGTGGACTTCCGCAAAATCGTGACTAGACTCGTCGGCAGTTGGTGTGTCTGGTTTTTTTTTTTGGGGGGGGGAGGGCCTTGAAATAATTTCCCAACACCATGTGTTTATTCAGGGGGGGAATCTAAGATTTGAACGAAATACATGCGCCGAGGTGAGCGCCTGTACATCGTGGGCTGGCGAAAGATGGGGGCCGTGATGGAAGAGTTCCCTTGGCCGTCCCGGATTCCGTGCCCGCCCATCTCGGTGTTGCTCCAGAAGCCGGAAGAAATTCCCAACTTGCCATACCTCCAGAAAGAGCCGGCCTCACAGCGTGGTAAGGAGCGGTGGCACGCACACATGAGGTGTGCTGCGGTAAAGATCCAGCAAGCAATGTCGCAGTTCCCAGACGCCAAGGACCCAAGGATAATTTTGTTGTTTGGGGACGGGATGCTTCTCACACTTGCTCGCTTGTTATTTGATCCCTTCAACGGGTGTGTCGAGGGGTGTTGGCCTTCATATAGCAACATATATATATATATATAATCCGACACTTGCTAGTACGTCCAATGACAGGACCTGACCTGGGTACTTGATATTGATAACAGCAACCGGGCTTCCAACGTCATGCCGGAGAAATCACCATGTTTGACCAGAACTCGCTGCGCCAACGGTGGCCACTACCTGCTTCCACAGCGACGGAAAATGACAGTGGCAGAGATAGAGACGCTGCAAGGCATTCCCGCAGATCACATCTGCGTGCCACACAACGTGTCAATGAAGCAGTACATGGCCATGTTGGGGAACGCGTTCAGCCTGCCCGTAGTCGGGCGTGTGGCTGTGGCGCTCTTGAAATGTGCGGGGAAGCTGCCAGATAATTATCCAGATGTTTGGGAGGCAGCGGCTCCCGTCGAAGGCTTCGACTTCGACCGGTTCAGGCGACGAGTGACGGGCAAGACGTACTGAACTTGTCAATGTGCAGCTGGTCGTAATTTGAGCTCGAAGGGTCAAGTTTACCCTGAATCTCCACATGCTTCGTTGTTTGAATTTGCCTTGTCCGCGGACCCTTCAGACCGCATCTGCAGATTCACAGGCGGCTTTGCCCCGGGATCTGCGCCTTCACTGACTGCCCAAAGCCCTATATATACCCTGCATGAACCCTAGACTCTACACCCTAAACCTGAAAGTTTGAACTTAAACCCGGAGTTTCCTTCAAGGAGGCGTGCCCCGGAATCAGCAACAGCATCGTCGTTCACAGCGATGAACCACCGCTCGCTCGCCGTGACGGAAAAACCTGGAGAGTGTGTAGTGAGCCTGCTGCCGTCAGCAATTCGCCTACGTTTGAACTATACACCAATCTTCTGTCCAAGCTTGCTTTTCTTTCGGGGACATGTCCTCAGCTGGAGGCTCATGCTTTCATAACTAGTGTCTGGTTCTGCTTTGATCCATGTACAGCATGTAGTCATGCAGATGCATCCTTTTCAGTGTAGTGTGTACTCCTTGCGTATGGATGATGGTTCCAGCATGACCTCGCGGGCGACGGGCAAGCAGCCAACAGGACTAGAGGGCCACCAAACAGAATAACTGTTTCCAGTTTTTTTGGGGGAGGGGTAGGAAACGGATTTTCAATATCTTTGCGTATGGATGATGGTTCCAGCATGACCTCGCAGGCGACAGGCAAGCAGCCAACAGGACTAGAGGGCCACCAAACAGAATAACTGTTTCCAGTTTTTTTGGGGGAGGGGTAGGAAACGGATTTTCAAAATCTTTGCGTATGGATGATGGTTCCAGCATGACCTCGCGGGCGACAGGCAAGCAGCCAACAGGACTAGAGGGCCACCAAACAGAATAACTGTTTCCAGTTTTTTTGGGGAGGAGTAGGAAACGGATTTCCAAAATCGCAGAGGGGGGGTTGGCGAGATGCCGTTCGGAAACGGTACGGCATCTCGACAGGCGCGGGCGCCCAAGTCTGTCGAGGGAGCTCCCTTTCCATATGCGCAAGGGCCCCGGGACCTTGGGACTGGGCCTCGCGCATACGATTTATGTGCTCCCTCGACAGGCGCGGGCGCCCACATCTGTCGAGAAGGCGTCCCGTTTCCGAATGGCTTCTGGACAGAAACTGCGCGCGATTTTCACAGTTTCCGCGCGATTTGGTACTGATCTGGACAGGCGCGGGCGCCCAAATTTGTCCAGGGAGTCCCGCCGATTTCGTACTGATCTGGACAGGCGCGGGCGCCCAAAGCTGTCCAGGGAGTCCCGCCGACTGATCTGGACAGGCGCGGGCGCCCAAATTTGTCCAGGGAGTCCCGCCGATTTCGTACTGATCTGGACAGGCGCGGGCGCCCAAAACTGTCCAGGGAGTCCCGCTGATTTGACTTCTTTTGGGATGAAAGCTACTCATTGATTACAGTGTTTATTTAGGAAGTAGGCTTTGATGTACTGTAAGCCTCTGCAGGACCCGATGAGTTCAGAGCCAAGTGGTACAGATGCCGCGAGAGATGGCAACAAGTCTTCCCCTGGTTGGAGAGCAGCGAGTCCCCCGAAGGTGTTCTACGTGTTTTCTGTGGTCCATGCAAACAGGTAGGCCACGCCGCGGCATGCTTCCTTACGGTGAACTCCTTGCAGAAGTCACACTTCCAAGGGCACGAGAACAAGTGCAAGAAGCACCGTGCTGCTGTTGCTGACCCAGATGTCCGTTTAGCTTTGCGCGCGCCACCAGTCCAGGACTTTGTCAAAGCTTTGCAAGCTGTCAGGGCAGGCAACGCCATGGGTGACGAAGGCACTGCTGACTTCAAGCGTAAGAAACTTCAGAAAGCAGTTTTTTGCTTAGGGGAAGCAGTTCGCATGAAGGCACGCGAGCTTCTCCGAGATCAGTGTACACTGACACTTCACTCGGACTGTTCGAAGGGTCGGCTCCTGCTGCGAGCCCAGGGTTGCAGCAGTACCTTGCAGCCGGCGCACCTTGTTTTAGGCACCCTCAAGATGCAGCACGGCAGCGACGCCTTGGCCATAGCGAAGTCTATCGTCCATATATTGGCCGATCTGTGCACTCCGCTCAAGTTTGTGGAAGACTTCGACGGCAGCAAGAAGGAAGCCTGTCCTATAGACCAGCCACTCCTGGAGAAGATTCTGCAGACTGTGGAAGTTTTCAATGCAGACGCGGCGGCGGACGAGCAGTTGGCCGGGCAGTTGCTGTCGACGCCAGCTCCCGATGTTTTTGCAGACTTCCAAGAATCACCTGTTACAGCCGCTATCTTTGAGATGAGCTTGGAGTCGTTGTCGCCAGCATTCCCGAATGTCAAGATTCTGAACAAGGACAAACCGCACGCAGCAAGACGCATTGTCTCTAGGACATGGAAATGTGATTCCAAGCTGAAGACACTGGTTTCGGACATTTTCATGGACAGCGAGTCCATTGTGCAGCAACTCCAGCACAGCGACACCCTGCGCATGTCCTACGCCCAGAATGTGCGAGCCCTGCAGTACAACCCACTGTGGAAAGAAGCCTCAGACAAGTTTTCTGCTGCGAAACATCGGTTTGACACATGGAGTGTGCCTTTTGCGAAAGTAGCATTGACACTGGAGGCTGTGATTCAAACAGCGCAGTCCGCCCATGACGCACGGCCCTCTGAGAAAACAGGGCGGGCCTCCATGAGGTTCCTATCTCTGCTCAGCGAAGAGACCGTGATTTGCCTGGGCATGCTCGCCGATGCCGGTGAAGAAAACTTACAGCTAACAAGGCATCTAGACACAGAGCATATGGCCACCCCTGCTTTGGCGAAATACGTCCAAGAGTTTGTGCGCAAGATCGAAGTGCTGTTTTGCAGAGGGGCCGTCCTGCAAACTGGTTACACCGCCTTCGTGCTGGACTTTCTGCAGCAGCCGCGGACCATCTATGTGCAACGACAGGCGCGAAAGCTAGGTGGCTTGCCCCGGCTCCAGATGGCCAGCATTGCCGTGGAATGTTTGAAACGTTTCGCGTCATGGACTGAGCTGGCGAAGGAGGTTGTTGCCGCCGAATTCCCCCAGTTTGAGCTTTTGCAGGCCATGTCATGTTTCGAACTTACTGCCATGTCTGAGCGCAGGCTGCTCGTGACTCCTGTGGCCGAGCAGAGCTATCTGCAAGAAAAACTCGAGAAGCTGGCTGCTGTTCTGCAACTGGATGAAGCCACCCTGAAATCCGAGTTTGCTGACTTCCATGCTCTCGCGCAGCATCGCTTTGACAACCAGGGGCTGGGCAGTTTTGCTGCGTGGAGAGATGCCATCCAGACGGCGCGTGCGCACAAGAAGTCATCGCAGTTACACCCGTGTGGGAGTCTGTGTCAGGCACTTGCTCGATCTGCAGGTTGGGGCTGTTCCACATCTGGCATTGAGCAGATGTTCTCGAGCATTCGTGCGTTCTCCAAAAAGCAGCCCAGGATTCTGGAGCAGCACATGCGTGACGAAATTTTCGTCCTCAGCACGCACGGCAACACTGCTGCAGAGGACACCGAGCTTGCGCGTGCTGCTGCCATGATTTGGTCGGAGATCTTCGGTGAGGTGCGTGCCACTCCCAGCGGCGACGATATTTTCAGGTCAGTTGGACGGCAACGTGCTTGGCAACGTGTTGCACGGACGGGAACGTTGCAGGCACAGGATTTTCATGCAAAGTATCGGCAGATGTTAATTTCAGCATGTACGAAAGGATTCGGTTCGAGGTTCAGTTTGTAATTCAGGGTTTAGGGTGCAGTAAACCAGAAAGACTGGCATTGACACTACACCTCATAATCAAAATGTTCCAAATTCAGATAGCAGAATCACGGCGCTCGAAATCCAAGTGGGGAGGGAAGAGGTGGCAGGGACGTGGGGGCTGACAGTTCGGGTTGGCGGTAGGTTCCGGGAGCAGTTTGTTGTAAGAATTCTGCAAGGCTGTGAACAGTTTAGACCCGAATCCCAAATCCTTATGCATAGTTGTTGGTCCCTTATATTTATCCACAACAGGCTTTTCGACGAGAGCGAAAAAGGAGCGTCGAGGCAGCCGTGTCTGCTGTGGATTCGTTTCCGGAGGAGTACGGCAAGGTGAGCGCCACTGAAAAATGGACACCTGCGCACGAGAAGGAGGCGGAGTTGCAGCAAAAACGGAGGAGATGCAAAGCTTTCCAAACTGCAGCGGCGGCAGGACTGTCAGCTCGGGAGGCTGCTGAGGAGGGCGTCGAAGAAGCTGAAGTGGAGGCATTCACTGCAGCCGCGCGCAAGAATGTGCAGAAGTATTGCCGACAGAAGCAACGAGAACGCGAAAAAGAGCAGATCAACAAGACCCCCACAGCAGCCTTGTTGCAGGGTAAAAAAATACACTTGAGTTGCTTGCGGCCCTCCCCGGGCGATGAGTTGGACCGGTATCTTCTCAGCTTCTCCGCCGGCTACGAGCCCAATCCCATTGAAGCTGATGTTTTTGTGGTTCCCGACGTGCTGAAGCTGGCCACGGATGTGATTTGGAACGCCGTGCTCGGAGGTGGAGTGGTCATGAGTTTCCAAGCCTTCACAGGAAATCACGGACCAGCTGTCCAGTACGTGTCCAGTCTAAAAGTGCGACGGCAGGTGTTTCTCAGTCCCGATTTCCAGCGTCACCATAGTGATCTCGCGGATACAATTACTGGGCGGATGCTGCGACACCAGGGTCATTGCCAATGGGTGCTCTTGCCTGGGTTGCAAGACTTTTTGAGACGTTTGCAGTTGCAGCGGAGGTCCAAACGCGCTGATTCGGAACTGGTGGCATTCGTCGCAGAAGCGGAGGTTGGACAGCTCCAAGGAATGCTTTCGCAACAGCCAGGCATCAACGGCAATCTGGGATGCAAGCTCCTGTCGGCTAGCTCCGCAATGGAGTGGTTGGCCAAAGTCCACTTGAAGAAGCAAGGTTTGTGTGGCAAGTGAATCTGTGCAAGCAGAGCCTGGGTGCAAATAATTAGGTGCAACCAATTCGGCCATGAAAAGTTTCGCCAGGTGGCTTGCCCCGCGAGCTTTTCGCTGTCCTTCGGGAAGGGGTCGGGGGGCAGGGGGGTGTAGCTCTGCACTCAACAAAGCGCATGGGAAGTCAATATGTTTCAACATGCATGGACCATTATAGTTTGAAGATGCGTGCTTTGTTGACAACGACGAGCAGCTCACAGCAATCAGCGCAAAACGGGGAAAATAGGTTCGTCCCAGACAGGCACTGAAGCTGCGCGGCTTTGATGATTAGTCAGCGTCTTCATTCATGATTTGTTTGGCAACTTGTTTGCTCGAGTGCAGGGGAGGGCGTACGGGGTAGCGGCGATGAGCTGGTACGGCAAGGGCCAGTGGAGTCGCGGAGGAGGCAAAAGCCGAGGCGCCGCCTATGGCCCCGGCAGGGCACCGCTGCGGGTGATGGAGGAGCCCATTCGGGCGCCAAGCACCATGGAGATCCGCGAAGGAGAAAGTCTCAACTCTGTGATCCAGACTCGCTGGGTGGAGTTCAAGCCGCATCTAAGTGCGTTCAAGCGTGTGACACTTTTAAAGCAATTTGTGCAAATGCATAATCATAACTACAGAGTGCAATCAATATCTGTGAAATCCGCCCAGGGAAGCAGGAACATGTATTCCACCGAGCAGTGGGCGGAGTACATGGAAATGGCCAACGCACTGGGCGTGAAGGTGAGCCTGCGCGACCGCCGGGAGAACTATTCCAAAAGCAAGCACCATGGCTTTCTTTATCGGCAAGACAAATCTGTTTTTGCTTGTACGTGTGTAGGAGTATCGGGTATCACTCTTGTATTTTTCTTGAGGTTGTGGGATGCACGATGTAGTCGGTCGTGAAGTTTAGAGCACATTGTGCTAGCTATTTTTCGAGAGGTCTCGATCCCTTCGGCACGCCGCGCTGACGCTGAAGGGCCCTGAAGCCGAATGTATGTACATCAAGATGGTGCAAGACTTGCACAATATCTTCAAAGTTTCCCACAAAGTCATCAGTGTACCGACGGCCACGATGGACTTGCTGGGCAACAAGGAGGAGGACAACGACCCAGAGGCACAGGAGTCCAAGCAGGACGAAGTAGGGGAAGGTGGCGTGCCCCCCCCAGGGGAAGGTGGCGTGCCCCCCCCAATGAAAGATGAACTGGACTACGACCCGGAAACAGAGGATGCGAAAGAAGAGGTGCCGGAGGAGGAGGTCCTGGCAGCAGTGGAAGTGCCACACGAGCGACAGGCCGAGCAGCGGCAGCCCGGCCAGGACACGTCGTAAAGATTTAGTTGGGTTGGGTTAGGGCTTGGGGTCCACCGCTCTAAAATTGAAAGTGAATCGTCATTCAGGGTTTCTGCCAGGACACCGAGCTTGCAAAATTGCTGAAAAGCTCTTTGCAAGAGTGCGCTCATCTGCTCCCGGCGGACATCTTGGACTCGGCGCGCGACGCCCTGCAGCATGTCGTCGCAGGTGAAGCGCCAGGCAAGGGCCAGGACACATTGGGGTAGGCCTCGGGTTTGGGGCTCTGGGTTTCGGGTTCAGGATTTAGAGTTTAGGGTTTAGGGTTTAGGGTTTAGGGTTTAGGGTTTAGGGTTTAGGGTTTAGGGTTTAGGGTTTAGGGTTTGTTTCTGCCAGGAGACCGAGCTTGCCGCGGACGACTTCTCACTCAAGGGGTTCAGGCGTGGCATCGCCGTTTTTTGCACCACGGTTTGCAGACGAGGGTGGCAGCTCGTGGTGGCCCTGCTCGTGAACAGCCTGATGGCAGCAAGTTACAAGGCACGCGGGGGAGAAGCCACGCTGGCATTCATGCTCGCCTTGGCAGTGGATGGAGAGGAGCCTTTTCAACAGTAGCACTATTTTCGTTAATTTCGTGAACATGGGATACACTCTGGGGTCCTGGGGTTTCACTAAGCTTTATACTCAGCTTTTTCCAGCGGTGACGCAGGAAAGAGAGACCCTCGCCATGGTGGACATGCTGCGAGAGCTGTGGGTCAGGTACGACATCACCTTTCACCTTAGCTTCGCAGACTTAAGCGACACCAAAGGGTTCCACATGAGCTGGGCCAAGAATACGTCCCATCAGATGGCATTGAACTGGTTGGGATCGTCAGGTGGCTTGCCCCGCGATGCCCTCAGAAAGGCGATATTGGTTAACCTGGATGGAGACAACATCTTGGGAGCAAAGTTCATCCCCGCCATGCTGAAAATGTTTTGCTCCCCAAACCTCTGCGTCGTCCATTCGCAAGGAAAAGAGAAAGGTACTTGTGGGCGAATGCTGGTGGCAGCCGACATTTTTTGCGAGGTGGGAGGGTACGATCAAGAACCTGACATTTGGCCATCGGGGTATCAAGATATAGACATGCGGGACAGATGCGCGAGGAAGGGCTCGGGCCACAGGCAGAGCTGGGGAGAATCAGGCACCGTTGAAGGTGCCCACCTGTACATTGGGTGCGCGCTGGACAATGTGCTCAATGTGAAGAGGACGGTCGAGCGCGGAAGTGCCAAGGTGAAGAACACGAGCAGCCCTGATGTGACGTGGGGCACGTACTTCGGCTGCGACATGCTCGATGGGTTTGTAGGTTTGTAAGGCTTAATGCAAAATATGAGGCCCCAGGGATTAAGGGACAATTGCTTTGGCGTTTGAGTTCTGCCGAGGATGAATGATGCGAACTCGACGGCCATGCGGCGGAAGCTCAAAGAAGGCCGACTGCGTCGCAACGAAGGGCTGAAACAGCTGGGCTGGCGGTCGACGACCGTCCGTCTGGATGAGGTCCCGCGTTTGCGTGCAATGAGCTCCAGACAGCTGGCTGAGACGTTGGGGGTGTCTCTTTTTGAGGATGTTCTCAATGCCAGAGGCCTCGCCGTGTCAAAATGCATGTTTTTATTCCGTTAATGTTTCATTGGGAAGATTAAAGATTTCAAGTTCATCATGCGATTGGGATACGGCGTTTTCCAATCGGCAGTTGACAGGACAAGAGGCTGAGAGACAGGTGCGGGCCAGGACCATGCCGGGCAGCAGCAGCGACGGCAGTGCAAGCCACAGGGGGCCGGGAAGTGAGCCCCGCTCCATGCCATCGCCGCCGAGAGGGTCCGTACGTCGATCGGGATCAGGTGGCGTGCCCCGTCCCGTGCACTTCGTCAAGCAGCTGAACCTTGTCACGTTCAGCTTCGGGTTCAAGATGTTCGACCACTTCGCCAAGAGTCGTGGCATGGCCATGTTGGACACAAGCACATGGTCGGCCTCGCGGATGGCTCAGGAGTATTACGCGAAAGTGGGTGGCATAAAGGTTGACAAGCTCTTCGCGTCGAACGTCACGTTTTTCGGAGACCCTGCAGAAGTAAAGCGGAACAGGGCGAGGCTGGGCAAGAACCACACAGGCTTCCACATTGTCAATCTGCAGCAGCTGATGAACGACGTCGCATGGACCGCCTTCATCAGTAAGATTAGTAAGGTCATCAAGGCGGCAGAGGACGAGGCAATCGACACCATTTGCCTGGCGTTCGGCTGCGACTGGGAACTCTGTAGCAAGGGTGTAAGGTAAGGAGTTTTGTTTAGGTGAAGCGTTGTATACCTTGAGTTGTATGGTTAAGGGTTTTGTTTAGGTGAAGCATTGTATTCGAAGTCTTTCCAGCCCAGGCAACAAGGGCCGCCATCGGAGTGTGGGTTGCGCCCACTTGGTGTGCCAAGCACTGCGGCGCATGGGGTATTTTGTGGTGGAGTCGCATGCCTGCAGTGATATGTGGAGCTACGGCTGCTGTGGCAAGTGTGAGGAGTGCCAGGATGCCTCCGGAAAGGAGGATTTGTACAGGCGCGTGGAGCAGTCTTTCAGGAATGGTGGGCTCCAGTGAATGATGCAGTGTTTGTTATTTGTCTCTCGGACAGGAGGCTTGCCCCGCCGAGATGACTGCATAGTTTCATACTGGCTGTTCGTTTGCTGAGCTGACCATTCTTCTTCTCTCGGACAGGAGGCTTGCCCCGCCGAGATGACTGTGTAATTCGGCACATTTGTGCGCCGCTCGTACAGTATCGTAAATCTTTTTGGCTAATCGCGCGACTTGTTCTCGGACAGGAATCTACAGCAGCGAAAAGACAACGACACAGGTTTAAAGAGTTTCGGGTTCTGGGTTTACAGACTGAAGGCTCAGCAAGTTTTGCAAGTGCCCTGGGTTTAGGCTAAGGGAGTGGGGTAGTAAAGATTCAGCGTTTAGGGCTCAAGGCGTTCAAGGTTTGCGCTGGGAAACAAAGGTTTAGGGTTTAATAGGCGAGTGAAGAAACAACGAATCGTTACACCCCAGATCTGTGGTATAAGATTCGCACTCGACAACGTAGCTTCACGTGCGAATGGCCAGTCTTTTCACGTCATGTTGAGGCGGTACGGAGCCAGAGTCAGAACGGAAACACCAACCGCCTTTGGCAGTTGGCCTGTCCTTGCTAATTGAAAGTTGGGGCAAGCCGCCTGAATTTCACTCTGGGCCTGAGTCGGGGCAAGCCACCTGAACTCACGAAAAACATTCAATCCAAGTTCGACGGCGACAGTGACTGCCCGCAAAAGCAGCAAAACCTCCACTCCTTCTCAAAAGGTTGCCCGCACTGAGTGCAAAAACGCGCCACGTTCTTGGCTCTCGAATTTTCCGAAGAGCATGGCACGCTGCCTTTGCACTTCTTCAGGAGAGGCGACATGACGGTTTGCATTGCCTCCACTTGCCTTTTCGGTGAGACAATATCGTAGTAGCGGTCCAATGTTGCAGCAGATGTTCCCGTTATTGCTTCGACCAGTGCAGAACTGTAGCCTGCTGATTTCATCAGCGTGACATGGGTCTTTTTTAGAGAGTGAGTCCCTATGAGGTCCATGTTCACACCTTCGAAAGTATGATTTTCACTTTTCTCCCGTGCTGCTGCTCGTGCTTTGACAAGCGCTTGAGCAGCCAGCGTCAAGCTACTCAAATATCCTCTCTCACTGATGGCCTGCTGCCAAAGTCTTCCAGCGTGGCCGCCTTTGGAGACATCTAGACCAGGAAACAAAACATTGCTCGGTTCCTGGACGTCTTGATTTGCGAAAGGCCACTGACAACCTTTGGCGCCAACAAGCGGCCGCTCAAACATCCACCCATGGATCATCCGGGCAAAATCAGCAGGAACTTGCAGGTCTCGAGCTTTTGTTTTGGAGTTGACGCCGTCCGGAATTTTGATGGTAGGGACACCGCTTGCTTCCGGCGCAAAGCTCACCAGCCACGAGCGTGCAATCTGCCGCGCGCAGTCTGCTCTTTCTCCCATGAAAAGTTGAAATAGCATGAGAACTGCTGTTGACACATGGCCGAGCTGCGTCAACGTCTCAAACAACGCATGCACTTGCTCCACATCGAGAACTTCTCTTCCCTGAGACTTTGTCGGCTTCCGCTTCTTTGCCAAACACTTGTCCAAATGATCCTGGCAGCAGAACTTCACGACTTTGCAGTGACTTCGAAGGTCCCGAACTTTGTCTTCATCCACTTTGGCTCGGCCAGCTGTGAAAGGACTGTTCTTCACGTCGATGCGACGCTTCGGGCACTTGGCGTACGCACATGTCTGGCAGATGCGCTTTTTCGGAGCCATGGCTGGATGATCTCAACAGCCGGGGCACTGCCACCTAGACTGCGAACGTCCTATTCAGACTTTCTTGTTCTCTCAACAGCAGCCGCACGAAGACTTCCCATTATGCTGGATCCACCACCTATGTGGCAACTAGACAGCATTGCCGCAACCCCTTCAGGTCTCCGGATCCATCGGACCAGACTTCACTAGAAAGTCTGCCGAAGCCCCTTCCGACAGCCTCTTGCGGGGAGCTTCCGAAAAAGCT